TCTGCCAGATGAGTCTGTACAGTCATCCAGGTCAGAGGGAGGAATGCCTGGAGCAAGGTGCTCCAGATGTAACGGAATCATGAAAGAAAGGGAGACGAGTATAGGCGTGAGTGAAGGAGAAATCCAGCAAACAGAGGCAAGAGAAAACCAGGAACAGGGTGAAGTGGAAAGCGGGGGTGGGGGGTGGGGGGGTGGGGTGGGTTGGTGGGGAGAGGACGGAGCTATAGGTTTAGCCCCAAGTGTCAGAAAATAAAAGCAGATGTAATAGGGAAAGAATAGGGAAGTCTCTGGACTGCAGGTATCTATACTATGTGTTGATTCATCCAGTTTTAGGCTTTGAAAGGTAACTATACTCCAACTTATACATGCCAAATTTGTAGTTCAAGTCTTACCTCGCTCTAGTTCTAGACCATGGATTCCACATTGCCCCTGGAATGCCTAACGGGCATCTCAAACGTGATGTGGTCACAGTGAAGCAGCTGCTCGATGTCCCGCCCTGCCCCATGCCCGCTGCGCTCCTCCTGCCTCGAGTGAGGCAGCTCCGTCTTTCCAGTTGCTCTAGGCCTTGGCCTCTCTGACTCATTTCACTCTCACACTCTTCACAGGCTCTGTGAGCAAACCCTAAGGCCCTACCCTCAAACCCTCCAGAATCAACCATGTCTTGCCTCCTCCACCACTATTTTAGCCCAATCATCTTTCCTCGGTATTACTGCACTAACACCCTAACTGGTCTCACTGCTTTGCAACAAAATGACCAGAGGGACCCTATCGTAAATGAACTCTTGGAACTCCTCTGCTCAACATGCACCCCCTCCAAAGGTGCCCCGCTTCACACAGTCTCAAAGACAAAGTCTTATGGACAGCGGCATTGCGTGACCTGGCCCGCTACACGCTAGTCTTAATCCCTGCACATTCCCTCCTTTCTCATTCTGCCCCAGTCACACCTGCCTCCTTGCTGTTTCATAAATGTGTTAGGAATGCTTCTGGCTGGTCCCCTTATGGGACTTCACTCCCAGAGAAAAACAGGGTTAATAGAGTTTCACTTTGACTACAATATTTAAAATTGTAACCCACCCCACCCAATTCCTTGATCCTGCTCTATTTTTAATCCATAGTACTTAGTACATTGTACCCTTTATTTTGTAGCATTATGTTAATTGCCTCTTTCTGGTAGAATATAAGCTCCATGAGATCAGAGGCCTTTGTCTTTTCAGTTCGTGAGCAGACAAGCACCTGGCATATGACAGGTCTGTTTCTGCTCAGTTTGAGAGACAGAGAGAGGGGTGGTAGCTGTTGTGGACTGTGATACCCTAAATTTCGTATGCTGAAACCCTACCCCTCAATTTATTTGGAGATGGGATCAGTGAGGAAGTAGAGAAGGCTAAACGCAGTCACAATGATGGGGCCCAATCCAATAAAAGTAGAGCCCCCATACGAAGAGGAAGAGACTCCAGAGTGCTTTTTCTTCCGTGCAAGGGCATAGCAAGGTACCACTGGCCAGGAAGAGATTCCTCATCAGGAACCAATCCATCCTGAAGTTTGCTCTGGGCCTGTGAGAAATCAATTAGGCTGCTTAGTTTGTGGTAACTGGTTGTGGAGGCCCAAGCAGACTGGGCCTTAGGGGGCGATGACATTTTTCTTCCTCTTCCTTCCTCCTTTTTCCTTTTTCTTTTTTTTTTTTTTTTAGTAATGACTAGGAGAATATAGTGAGCATTGCATGAGGTAGAAAAGGAGAAAGTAGCTAACAGAGAAATAAGGAGACAGGAAAGCAAGGAAAATTGGAAGAGGCAAGGGTAAGGCCAAAGAAGAATCAGGGTAAAGCCTTAGAAACAGAGGTGCTGCTGCTTCTAACAAGACAGAGGGTATTGGTAGAGAGACAGGCATTCTGCTATGAACCTGATGATATAACATACATGTTTCATGCAGAGAGAGTGAAAGTGAGGAAACTCAGGAGAGCTACCTGTACTCCCACCTCAAGCAGCTCTGCCAAAGAGAGAGGCTGAAAGGGGTAGGGAAATGGGACAAGACCGTGTCACAGGAGACGCCACCAGGCAGAATGAGATGGGGACCGCAGCTCGTGGGCTCAAGAGAAGGCCTCAGCCAGCCCCTGCTCCACACCCCAGTCCTGAGCTTCTGGTCCAACTTACACTGGGCTGCAAAGCATGTTCTTAGTACCCTGCCCTCTAGAACAGGCTTTAGACTTTCTCTGCCTTTTATTTCGGAGGTAGTGGGATGCAAAAAACCACTTCCCTGTACTATGACAACAGTGTTGCTGCCTATAGGAGCAATGTAGAATGTTAATAAATAGCATACTATGTCTGACGAATATACTGGAAACCAGACTCCTAATGCACATGGAACCCCAACATGCCATGAAGTAGAATAAGTGACCCTGAAAACCTGACGGGAGACCGAGGCAGGGTGGTGGGCACTACACAGAAGGGCCCACCTGGCCATCTGCTATGCCTGTGGGAGCAGCTTGTCTCTCCCCACAAACAAGCCTGCCATAAGCCCCAGTCTGAGGCCTGGTTACAATGTGTGCTCAACATGTCTGTCAGAAATATTACCCAGACAACCCGCCTCTGGGGTTCCTGTTTCAGTGTAGCTCAAATGTCACCGCGGCATTTATCTCCTTGAAATTTTCAAAAGAATCCGTAAGTCTAAAGGACCAAGTCCCAGGACCTCAGCGTGGTGTTCAAAGCCCCCTTTATAATGTAGCATCATTAGCTGTGTCACGCACTCTGCCCTATAGCACACCATGGGCCTCCTGCTCTGACCTTTGTCTTGGAAGAGCCCAAACTCCCCATCTAAGTCTCCCCCATTCTGTACGGCTCTGTTTTATAGTAATTTCCTCCAGGAAGCCTTCCTGGCTCACAGTTATGAGCCAGCTCTCCTCTGAACCACATTGTATCTGTCATGTGTGGCCCTTGATTAAAAGTTGCCTTGGGAAGGATCCTGTGTTCCTCTTCTACACTCTTATTTCACTGTATTTTATGTATCACTGGCTAGAGGCAGACAGATCAAGGGCAGCAGGTCATACCTAACAGGTTGCTTACAGGAATGAGTCCTAAGGCTTAGCCTGCTACTAGTACTGATAAATAAAGTAGGCACAAAACACTGTCAGGGAGAGACTGGAAACCCAAGAGTAAGGAAGCAGGAGCTAGAGAGAACAGAACAGATGGCAGGGGAGTGCATGCTGTGGAAAAAGCAGAGGCGGGGCTGAGGCTGGGCAGGTTTGGGGCTGGGCTATGGAGGCCAGAGCTGGGTTCCAGATGGATCTCACATTCTTTTAGTGTGGCTTGGCTAAGACAGCCTGGATAGAGGGCATTCTGGTCCTCAGCTGTGGGCTCCTTGAAGTCAGGGATCACACATGTACTTCTCATGCCCACATTGCCAGGGCCTTGGGAGGCCGTGTCAGAGGAGCACGTCTCTGGGAACCCTGCACTCTCCTCCTCCTCACTTGTGGTCACCGCTTTCTGGGCCCCACCTAACAACTGTGGCTCCTGCATCTGTAATATTACATGATGACAGCTGGAGAACCAGAAAGGACAGTGCCCTTTTCTGCTTTGAAGGGAGAAAAGCGCCATTTAATTAGTGTGTGCCCTGCCAATGTGTCACAGAAGGGTGTGCTCCTGCCAAGATGGCGTGTCTAGAAATTTCGCTGAGTATCGAAGAGTTCATGATCCCTCTTATGAGGTTGCTGCTCTGTGCCTGCCTCCCCAAGGGAACTAAGAGCATCTCACAGGGCACAGGAAGGGCAGACTCCCGCCCTCAAGCTGACCCTGTGGGACACAAACCATCCTCTGGCTGTTTATTAGTTTCAGGAGACCCAGTGGCCTTAGTGTTGACCACCAGGAAAGCCTGCACCACACGCTCCCGCACCAAGAAAGGGCAGCTGTCATCTGTTTTATTAACAGGAAGCACAGGCCCCAAATATTCTCAGGGATTGATAGGTCAAAATACCCAAAATGTGATCCCTGGAACAGCAGTGTCAGCATCAGCCAGGGCCTCGCTAGGAATGCAGGATCTCAGCCCCACTCCAGACCCATGGGATCTGAACCTGCGTGTTCTACAAGATCCTTAAGGGATTCTTGTGCACCCTTGAAATTGAGAAGCACTGGTTTAAAACCAAATATTATTTTTTGAAACTTTAGCTCCAAATAAAGTCATATGGTGACTCAAAATGGTGAAGAAAAAAGGCTAAAGAGCTGACATGTTACCTAAAAGGCTGTGGAATGGGTAAATTTTGACTTGACTTTTCTCCCCACTCCCTCTATAATCCAAGGGGCCCTGAGAACTCCAATATGACCTTTGACTGTCTAGGGGTGACCAGGATTTGGTACTTTAAAGAGATTGAATATAACTCTTAACAGACCAGTTTAAGTGCTTCACCAAGCAAAAAGCTGGCTGGATGAAGGCTGAGGAGGGAATATTCACATAGAGAACAAAACAGTTTGTCTCACGTATAAGGATAATTTCTGAAAAGTACCACAGCTAGTACTTCAAGTCCAGGTTTCCAAACTCTCAGAATATCCACTTTCTCACCAAAGAGGTACTAGGTACTCAGGCCTAACTATTATGTTTCAGGAACCATGAAAAGCACTTGGTAGACATTACTGTGGCCTGTTCTTTGTGGAGATTTGTCATCACTGTTTTGCAGATGAGGAAGCTGAGGTTCAGAGTGATGGCTCTTAACGATGTAACCAAAGGTCACTCTCAGGTATGTTTGACAATGGGTGAGGAGTTTGCCAAGTCATTTGGGAGCACGTGTTCTGTCCCCAGTCATGTCACCACTGGCCCAGGTGGTGAGAAGTATTAAAATATGTCTCACCCCAACAAGGATATTAAAAAAAAAAAAAGTGATAAAAATTCACCACAGGGTGAAGAACATGAACATTCATGGAAATCGAGATGTTCTTCTCCTTCTGAAAAGAAGGCCAAAGCCGTGGTGAGCCCAGGTGAGCAGGTTCCTGGGAGCCCGTGGGGCTGGGAATGCCTACCTTGGATTCCATACAGCCGGTTGAGGCGTGACCGCCGGGCCTCGTCCGTGTAGGGGACAGCGAGCCAGGGCATCTCACTGAAGTACTGTTTGAATGAGTCCTCTGACCTACAGAGACACAGGCGGAAACAGGTTCTATTGTCCTCAATGCACCATCACTGGGGCCTTGCCACCTTCTACCACGTTGTGCTGAGACTCCCAATCAGCACGTTCCTCAGACACCAGTTTAATGACACAGAGGGCAGAAACTGGCCCATCCCGATGCATGCCAAACAGCAAACACCTTGTCCCTCTAACAGGTGGACACCAAGTGAAAATGCCAGGTTGTTTCAGTAGCCTGCCCCCTGGCATCCCTTGCAACACATGCCCAAGTTTTCATTTTTCAACTCAGATTAAGTTTTACTTTTATAGAAAACCTAGATATAGCCTAACTTTGCACAAAATGATGATGTGGACAGGAACACTTCTAAACAAGTGAAGATCTAGGAATGACAAATATAACTAAGTTGACAGAAAGCAGATAAGGGGTTCCCTCATTCTGGAGGCTTGGGGGCAAAACTGAGAAGGGGCATGGAGAACATTCTGAAAAATGAGCATGTTCTCTGTATTAATTGTGATAGGTACATGCATTGGTCAAAATTCACTGGAATGTCTGCCCTTCTGATTTTTGTGATTGTCTCCAAAGTACGTGGCCAGAGCTAAGAAAAATGACTGTGCAGTCATCCGAGGCAGGTGCCGCATTCCATTGGTCACCGGCCCTTGTCTTTGGTTCTTTCCATCTTTCCCCCTCTATATCCTTTCACCATGATGCAAAAAGCTGCACGAATCAGAAGAAAAAATGCATCACAATTTGAAATAACTCAGGCCCAAATGGGGACATATCCCAATATTTACAGAAGAACAGTTTTTTTCTCAGTTCCCCTGCAGATAATTACGAGTAAAATGTATCCACCTCAGCCAATAACCGGATATGTCTTCCTATCCCTATCTCCAGGCAAAAGAAATGCATGTGAATCACCCATAGAACGGGAGGCTGCACCGCCCTTTCTCCCACCACTCACATATTACCTGTCGGCACTAACAAAGATGATCTCAAATTTCTGGCCTGCCTCCTTGATTTTCCGGTAAGATTCCACCAGGACCCGGGTGAGGCTTCGGCAGGGTGGACACTGAAAAACAAGAGTGGGACCCTGCTGCGTGATACCAGCCTTCAACTTCCAACTTCCCGGGTCCCAAACAGCTGCCATCAGAGGCTAGGCAAACAGTATGCAAGCTGCATGGAGATGTTAAGGGGAAGGCTGTCCTAAAGGAAATCTGCAGGGTCTTGTCGATCCCACCACCTACTCCAGCTTTCTGGACTCTACCCCCTACTCCAGGGATTGGAAACTACAACTCTCAGCAGTACCAGGGAGAGAACAGCGAGGACCCAAGGGCAGAGCTAGCAGGAATTCTGGGACATTGGGGGATAAATAGGACGGGATTGCAATTGTGTGTCTCTCTTCTTCTCTCTTCTCTCTCTCCCCCCTTCCCTCTCTCTCCCTTCTCTCTCTCTCTCTCTCTCTCTGTTGCTTCCTATTCGTTTCCCCTTTTGTAAATAAACCTGTTATTGACCCTTTTGTGTGTGTCTGCAGTATAAATGAATTGTGAGTGCTCAGATGAGGCCCCACAAACAGGCGGCCCAGTCCACTTTGGGCTACCCTGTGACAGAGACAGCAAAACCAGCTTCATACAAGAGGCAGAAATAAAACGTGTCTCTTGTAGGGCGAGCACCCAGGTGTGGGCTCCTCTCCACCCACACAACGTGCTGGTAGGCGGTGGTTAAAATGAACCTCCTGGGGGTCATCAGAAGCTTACCCAGAATAGGTTAGGAGGACTGTCCTTTCTGTCCTCAGTCAAAACAGGTCTTTTTCATGCTGCTGTTATCACTTGTAATAATGAGCACTTACTGCCTGCCAGCAATGAACGCATTAGGCACAGGAGAAAGCAAGAATGCCAGGACAGTCACAGTCACACCTATAGACCCAGCTGCAGCTGGTGGTGGTGGTGCTACCTTCTGTGCGGAGGGAAGCGGAGGCAAACACTCACCCAGTGTGCAGAGAAATAGACGCCCACGTGAGACCCCTCCAGGCTGCTGCTCTCCAGGGACTGCCCGCTGTTTCTAAGTAAGGGTCCTGCAATGACTTCCCTGAAGGGTTTGGGTCCCCACGGGAATTCCAGACCTGAAACGGGCACAAATGGCAAAGATGTGAAGAGTCTTCATCGTGGCCTTTGACCCAAGAAGCCTTAGGGATGTAGGCCACAATGAAGTTACCATCAAATAGTATTTCATAATCACACATCCATAGAACCTGCAGCTAAAACACAGGATAGAGCAGAACTCAACCATGGCAGAGCTCTCAAGAGAGTGGTTCCAGAAGCTCCTAGAGCTGGGTGGTGTCAAGAAGCACAGATGTCCAGATTACACCTCAAGTCTCAGGACCTGGGCAAGGCTTCAGATGTATATTCAGCAAAGCAAAACCAATTCCCCAGGTGACTGCAATGATGGACCGGGCTGGGGGTACACTGCCTCCCCATCAATCATGGTGTCTTTAGTTCCAACCCTGTAATGAGAGGCTTCAACTTGGGCTGCATTTTAGAACGAGCTTGGGAATTCTAAAATATGATGGTCCTGGGCCAGCCCACCCCCAGATAATCTGACTCAGTTGGTCTCTGTTGGGGTCCAGCGACCCAAGTAAGAATTTAAGTCTAGTAAAAGGAAAGAACACAAAACCCACTCAATCAGATCATCTGTGTGCTGACATGTAAGCCCTAGGCAGGAAGAGCAGACAAGATGTTCCCAGCTCAACAGAACAGTGTTTTCTAACCGGGTGGTCCAAGAAGCACGACCCCAGAATTGCCTGGGGTGGGGGGAGGCACACAGAGGGGTTAAAATGCAGGGGACTAAGCCTACCACGAAACACTTGGAAACAAAAATCTTTGGGGGAGGGTCATGGGAATCTGTACTTTGAACCAGATTCAGAGTAGGGTATTGAGAGGCAAAGTGTGTTTAAATTGTTTTTACTGGGGGCAGTTCTTTGAAGCAGGTGATATTTTTACTGGGAAAATCTGCAACCAGTGTTCAATCCACTAATTGGATCAACAAGGGAGGGGAGATCCTACAACCCTTTTATGACTCCAGCTCCAGGGGTAAAGAAAGAACGAGAATCGCCACTGTGCAGGGTGACTGGACCGGAAGGCTCGCCCTGGGCCTGGCCACCCACACAGCCAGCTGGTCAGCTAGACCATGGCCTGCTGCACTGGGGCAGCACTAAGAAAAGCAGTGAGCACGCTGCTGAGGCGAGGAGAGCAATGCAGAGACTGCGACTTTGCTGTGGTAATTGATTCATTAAAGAGGAAAAAACCAACAACCCACTTAACTGTGAAGGTGACAGCCGCTGTTGAAGTGGCACTAGAAGTGGGTGTCTGGGCTCTAGCTGCTTCCAAACAGCCAATTCAGTTCTCAAAGCTGAACTTCCCCTTTCAGATTCCATCTCCTTTGGCCCATGCATGAAAGCTCCCAGGAGGGACATTCTGATCCCTCTAAAAAATCTTAACCATGACCTGGAGCATGCTATAATTTCATTAAGACAATATTCTCTAGCCAAACAAGCCTAAGTACATTTCATTTATATATGCCCTACCAGTGGTGCGGAGGGCAGAGTTGGGGGCTGGGGGTCACAGTGGGGACTACGAGACCAACTTGCCAAGATCTTACCTTCTGGGTCATCTCGGATCACCAGCAGCCCATTCCTGCACACAACCTTCCCCGTGGTGGCGTCTAGGAATATTAGGGATGGAATGTTGGAAATGCGATATTTGTTCCAAAGTTTAAGCTGTAAGAAGAAAAGCAAAATGTGGTGGTTACATTCAAAGTTGATTAATTGCAGAGTTCTTTTGAATCCCTCAGGCCAGAGGGCTGGATAGACTAGAAGAGAGTTACTGATTCAAAGCAGGCAGGCTGGGCAAAAGTGACAAGTGAAGAAGCTACACAACCCCACTTGCTTGTGGTCTGAGACAGTGCTGGGGGCCTCGGGTCTGAGCTCCATCCAGGCTCCCACCGGGACAGCGGCTGCTGGAGGACATTTGCTATAAAGGACTTCTTCTTTCCCCCATGGATGCTTTCTCCAAAAATCAAGAAGATGAAGTAGGAGTAAGAACCTTTGGAACAAAGGCAGCTCTCCACTGGTTTTTAGGCAGGAGGGAGGCACTTCATTTCAGTCTCTCTCCCCTATCAGCAGGTAATTACTGCCCTGCTGTGTTCCCTGAGTCCCCAGGGAGAAGGGACAACAGAATCCAAGAGAAGACCATGCAGTTAAAATCACCACTTCACCAGGCCCCTGAACTTAGAATGCTGGTAGTCGTTCCAACTGTGAACCACTCAGCCTGCGAACAGCAGGGTGGCAGTATGCTCAGCTCTCCATGCCCCTCCAAACAACCCATGGTCATTGGCAGGTTCTTGAGGGCTGGCCGCTTGGGCACAGGCAGAACAGGGTACAGATATATCAAAGGGAAGCAGGCACGAGACGTACAGCTGCCCACAGCTGTATACACTGTCAGAGGACCAGAGTCGAGGAGTAACAAGGCTGAGGAGACATGAATGGGCTGGCCGCTGAGTGTGTGCAGGCCACCTTGCTAGCTCCCTGACATCTGGGTGAACACTGCTTAGGTCGGCCACTGGGCACGCTGGCACTTAACTGCCAAGCCCAGAAGGCAACAGGATTAGATGGAAAGTTGAACAACCAGCACACGTCCAGAAAAGAAAGAGATGGGAAAGAGAAGAATGACCCACTGGTGATTCAACTGCGAACCTCCTTTCCTGGGCCTGTGGTGCCCCGACAGGAGGGCTGGCCGCTTGGGCACAGGCAGAACAGGGTACAGATAAATCAAAGGGAAGCAGGCACGAGACATACAGCTGCCTTCAGCGAGGGAAAGGCGTGTGTGGCGAGGGTTATCAGGGCTTTTAATTCAGCCCCACGCAGTACGGGAGCCAGATGGGGTATCTGCCAAGAACTATTCGGCTTCTCCTGTCTGTGGGAAATCTGGGTCTTGGGAGGAAGGGTTGTGGGACCCTACCACAAAGTGGCATGTTTCTTCCCCAGGCCCACATTTCCTGTGGGACCCCTCAACCAGGCAAGACCTCAGAACAAAAGTAGCTCCGCAAGTACAGTTTTCAACGACAGTATCGCAGTTTTCAATGACAGTATCACAGTTTTCAATGACAGTATCGCATCCTTCCAGAGAAATCTGATACAGATTAAATATTCTTAGGAGAAGAGGTTCAACAATAGGACACAGCCATGTACCATGTGTGGGATTAGCTTGTTGGTACAAGGATCCAGCTGCTTTAATATTTTTTTTAAAGGGGAAAAAAGAGATTAAGGGACTTTTCTGGTTTCAAATGGAATTATTGGGAAAAAATGGAAAACATAGCAAACCACAAAAGTTGAGATAAAAATCACCCATGATTCACCACTTGTGAAAGCTTAGGCAGCGTTAAATTTCCACCAGTGAGAGCATCCATTTCCTAGTATCATCACCAACATTAACAGTAACATTAGTTTTTCCAATTCGATAGGAAAAACATGATACCTCATTTTTGTTGCTTATCATTTACTTAATGATAGTTAGAAGATATACATCTCACTGTGGCAAATGCACTATTTCTCCCCAGTATGTTATGAGACTGCTCGTGCTGAAGGTCATTCCCAGATGCTAACTGGGCGCCTGCTATGTGCCAGTCCTGTGTAAGCACAAGAGACACAAGAAAGCACAGGCAGCTATAATCACTGCCTTTGGAGAGTTGCCATTCTAAAGGGAAAATGGACTATAAAAACAGCTAAGTTTCAAACATACACTCTTATTTCAGAGTAGTTTTTTAGTGGCTAAATGCAGGCAACCATATTATCCTTGACATATTAGCATGTGGCTAGTGTTGGTTAGCTATTTTTCTTTCTTTATTGAGGCAATGTTGGTTTGCATTATTGTATTTTGGGAGCAGAAGGTCCCCCCTTTATGTGCGACCACCATAGTGCACCTTCCGTCAAAGCACCCATAGTTCACTGTATTCCCTCCCTGCTTTATTTTCTCAACCTTCCCTCTCTGGATTCTATAATCAGCTTTCAGGGGTTAGTTAGTTTATTTTTTAAAACATTTACTTATTTATGCATACAAGAACTGGGGTATAGGCCAGAGGTGTGGGAGGTGAGAGGGTTTACCAGAGACAAAGGGGGGAACAGACCAGGCAAATTGACTAAAACACACTGCTGAAGGGAGCAGCAGGTGAGACAGGAGAGATCTACTGTGCCATGTAGGTCAGCACCCTGGCCAGAACTAAACTCGTGCTGCAGTGGCCGTGGACAGCTTCATAGAGCTTTAACCCACTGCACTACCAGGGAGGGCCCGGGTTAGTTAGTTTTTAAATTTGGTTTTACCTATTAGATATTTTTTTTTATTATTACAAAGTTTATTTTTACATCATTTTGCACATTTTTTTTCCCATCTCGATTGTAATCCCCGCGGGTTTCCCATCACCAAATCACCCCTGTGCCACCACCATAGTACCTATTAGATATTTTTAAGGGAATGGTGGGTTTTACTTTAGCACCTAGCCCACACATGCTTGACCACCCCATGTGAGTTAGGCCTAGCTGCTAGTGAAATCATAAAAGAAGGTCTTGAAGGCTCATTGGCCATCTTGGGGTAACCTGAGGGCATTAGAACATGACCCTTTAAGATTACAAATAGATGTCCCCAGACATCCTTAAAAGATAAAGAAGTACATAATTTCTCTGGGTTCCTCATGCAGGTAGAGACTATTATAATAACCCCCTGCACCTCTACTCCACCCTAGGTCACCACATACAGTTCTTTTCTCTTTGTATCCTCCTTGGAAAGGTAGGAAACTGTAACCTGAAGAGCCTTATCTTCCCTCCCCCCCTAGACAGCCTCCACTTCTTTCCCACTGGGACTCAGGAAAACAGGAGACTTGGACTTGTAATTTTTTTTAGGGAGGGGGGGTTGGGTAGAAGAAAGAAAGTTTAATTGTAAAAAGCTGACTCACTTACATAAATGCATGCAGAACATAAGTATAGATCATATTCCAAAATTGGTTATTGATAATCCTACCTCTTAATCTTATTATAATCTATAACTTTTCATGAATTCCCCATCCATTTTACTCCCTTATTCCTCATCTGGTTACCTCGATCCTCAGCATCCAAGTTTAATTTTGATTTTTGTCCTTTATCTCAAAAGCCATAACTGCTTAGGAAATTTTCACCATGGGCTTTATGGATTAACCCTACCGGCTACAGCTTCACATTGGCAGATGTTAGAATTGTAGCTGTACTTGTCATGAGCCCTCCCAGGATTTCATCAAATCCTAAGAACACTGGATGAAGAAAAAGTAGAGGTCTAGTAATTTCCCCAGAAGTGGTTAGGATGGGATGGACTTATATTTTATCTGCTGTTGTTGGATCTTTGTTTCTGATAAAGGTCCACTGGCTTAGTGGGGAAAACCATGCTTCAGGACTCACACCTGACACTGAAAAGTCCATCCTTTTGTAAACTAGCACTTCACGGCCTAGTTTTATGCATGGTAGTGATGTATCCAGGAATTTGAAGAACCATGTGGCTGCCTGGACTGTGTTTCTCGGGCTCAGCGTCAAGTTCACTCTGCTCTGACGCAGTGCAGAGGCGTTGGGATGATGGCACCCATCACGTCAACTCTGATACCTGAATGAGTAAGTGAACCTGATGTTAGAAAGGTCATACAGATCCACTTTGATGATGATTCTAGTAGGCCGATTGGAACTAAGACACACTTTAACTTAAAGAAACAGTTATCAAGATGTACTTCTGGGTCTTTTCAAGTGTGTGTGTGATATATCAAGTCTTCTCAAGCCCACTTCAACTGTGTTCTTATACTATTTTTGGGTTACAGAGGATAAGAGCTATAGATCCTTTCTCCAGAGAAAAACGGATGTATCTGAAAAGATCTGTGCGTGATTTTTACAGAGCTCATGAATCCCTTGAGGCCTGTTAGTGAACCTGTCTGATCCCAAGTGACCTATAGAACCCAGAATAAGGCCTGCTTATCTTACGAACTCATTCTGGCATGTGGTTTGATCTTCATTCAACTGGGAGAGCTATGATATTGCCCCATCGTGATTCCTGTCAAAATTCCTAATAAAAGCCAATAATTGCCTAAACTCTATGATGATGCAAAAGTGAAGAATGAGATTAAAATCTCACTCAGCTGCTGTTGCTATTCCCTAACCTCATTCAGACCCTTAGCTTCCCTCCCTCCTTAGGGATTCCCACTCGGTCTATAACTCCCCCCTCTCCCTCCAAGATGGTGAAGATCAAAGCCACCTAGGACTGAGTCCTAAGAGCTTTTAATAAGATGCCCAAGACCTGTGTTCATTTTCTTCCTAGGCATAATGCTAGACATCTAATCAGACTCAGTAGCATAAGTGCTTCCTCTTTATCTTAAAGTTCCTTCTTGGGAGGAAACGGGTATGTAGAGAGTAGAAAGTGCACTGAGGAGCTCAGGTTTACATCTGGGCCTGACATCTCAGTAGATGCTAGTGGATGTCAGAGTACTGGCCCACATATAATAGCCCATCACAGAGTGACCGTGGCCTAAATGAGGGGAAGTGTGGACAACTGAAAACTGCACGCCCCACACCCGGGACACACCATTAGTCTCTGAATCCAATTTGTGCTCACTTCCTTCGTTTTGTCAATGCCCTCTTCAAAAATCATTTTCCTGTCAATTCATTTTCAAGTTGATCAGTTAACTATAGAGTTAGTAGACTGTATATAAAACTCA